CGTATGTGTTTTGTGTTAATGCGGTTGTCAAAGCTGCAGTTAAATGAATTTGACATGATGAAGGAAAGTCTTATTAATTAGGCAGAGTTTTCAAAAAAGTCTTCACTTTTCGTGCCTAACTGCACGAAAGTTAAATATTTCCGTGTCAAATTTTGCCAGTTAACATTAAGTCTTGAAAAAAAGTAACATCATTTCAATGTACAATAATCTTGGATTCAATTCACATAGTTTGTAAGATTTTCATTCCCGGAACAGCAAAGTCTGTTAGTCAGGCATACTGCTTGTACTTTCTATTTACAGGGTATTCGCATGTCAGCTGCTGTGCGCTACTGCCGTTGATCTTATTGCCTTACGAGTGCTCATCGTTATGTGAATTGTATTTACTAAAGAAAACAAATAGATTGCGAGCTGATTATAAAGATAGACCCACAACATCAACTCGGCATTATCTAGGCAACAGCCACAAAAAGCGCTCTGTGGCAAGTGCTTGTTTGTTCAACTCGGGCTATTTGCGTGATGCTTGTGTTTGAACTGAAATACTCGCGCTTGATTGGATTAGCTAGAACAACATCTAAGAAGATACAAATGCATCCGCACCGACTGCAGTCAATGATCCGAACAGAACAACAAAGCACAAAAATAACTTGAAAGTGTTCACGCCTCAAAGAATTTACATAGCTTTCGAAAAGAAAGAAATACGCAAATGCTCTAAATTATTCATTTAAATGAATGTTAATAGTATTTATGCCAAATTTTAGATTTTCTGTAAAATAAACTAATCATTTTTGTAAAATATTTGCTGAACTTTTGGCCATATCATGAATCCATGAATCCGTGATGGAAATGGGGATCGCTGGTTCAAGCCGAATTTAAAATTTAACTCTTGAATTTTGAATATATTAGGAGTACATCTGAGTTTTGGAATATCTGTTTACAGCAAACTAAGCCATTTGAATAAATTTGTTTTTCCAAATTAAGAGCTATCTGGCACTTATCTGCCCACTTCCGGTTTGCGGAAAGTGGGAAAAACACATGAAAAGCACACAGCGTTAAGGTAAAAAAAAAAAAAAATGCATTTTAATTGCCAGACCCATGCAAAAATTGTTTTTATCTTTTCCCAAATCATTTCTAGATAAACACAACACAACACGAATTGCATTTGCAACAATAACAACAACAACAACAAAAAAACACACATAAAAATGACCTAAAAAGAAATTTGTAAAATTCAAACATGCGACAAAGTAAAAGCAAACACACACACTTGAATTACCCATGTGTATACACCGTGTTGTGCCATAACAAAAAATTAAATAAATAGGTGAATAGGTGCGCCCTAAATCTGTTTCAATCTGTCAGTTGACACACACGCAGACACAGTCACAGATACAGATACAGTCACAGCTACAGATACAGATACAGATAAAGAGATACACAAACAGAGATACGCACAGAAGTTAAATTGTTGTTGTAGTTTCCGTGAACTTAGACAAACATTACTATTATTATTATTTTCGTTGTGTCGAATGAGGTGTATAATTATACCCTGTAGTCAACAATTTGGCAGGGCGTATACGTTCATCAGGGCACAAAACAAACGGATAACATACAGATATTAGAGCGCATGCAATAAGTATTTATATAGGCAGCTATACCATATATTAACAGGCTATTATGCAGGGTATTTCACAGTCAAGCTTAACCCATCTAATTTCTTCAAAAAAACAAATGCATGTTTATGCAATTCCCTATATCGTTAGAGCGCACACAGGGTATTTCATAGTCCAGCACAATTTTATTAACGCATGCAGGGTATTTCGCAGTCAATCACAAGGGTCTTTGTGTTTGTTGCCATAAAATCCCGCATTGTTTTTTCTTACATAGGCAACGTCACCTGCTTTCTCCCAGCGCTGAGAACGAAAAGCGAAAACAAGAAAACTTTTGTTTTTTTTTTTGTTTTTTCAAAAACCCAATTTTTCATAGCCCAAGCAATTAAAATTGTATTCAAATTGTGTACTTCAGGTATTTTTGATTATACGTTTTAGATATTTTAAGTGCTGGCCATTTATTTAGTCGATTGTTTATGCCACATTAAAGCTGTATAAAATGTAAGCAGTTTGTTAACTGAAAATTTAAGTGTTCGCCTAGTTATTTTTATGCGCTTTTAATGGCCAGTGAAACGGAAAATTTAGACAGGAGCCCCAGTTCCAGAACATATCGAATGGGCGAAGCCAACTTTAAGTGCTTGTGTTAAAAACCAAAAAAACAAAAAAAAAAAAGTTTGTTGTTTTTGTTTTTAATGCTTTGCGCCTACTTCCTATGAAGTTGCACACTTTTGTTTATGCTCGGCGCGTCAATATTGTTTTAGCTTTTTCTGATTAAGCAGAGCGTTAAATTAAATAATGCTATAAAAAAAAGTTTGGCTTTGCCAAGTTTTTTGTTATGCTAGGTGTCTAGGAGAGCATAGGCTGCGATAATTGGCAATTGCGCGGCTTTGTTCGGCCTTTGATTATAGCTGAGCTTTATTTCATCATTGTCCAGCATTTCGCCCATATTCAGCTGATATATAAGCGGAATAAAGGGGAATAATTCATGACCATTTGTTTACTTAAAATAATTTGCATTCTTTATAATAAAATTCTGCAATAATTATTGCGCAGCTTTGTTCGGTTTTCAATAGTTTTTGAGATTTTTTTTTGTTATTATTGCTCAGCTTTTCGCCCATTTTCCGCTAATTTAGGTGGATTTTGAGTTGGAAAAGGTTCTTCATTCTTTTCTAACAATTATTTTCACCCTTTTTCCACACATGATTGTGGTAATATATTACTTTTGTTAATAATTGAATACAATTTTTGAGATATTTTATTATTATTGCCCAGCTTTTCACCCATTTTCAGCTAACTTAGGTGGAAAAGGTTTTTGTTTCTTTTCTCACAATAATTTTCACCCTTTTTCCACCCTCGCTGGTGGCAATATATCAGATACGTTAATAAATTAGGGTAATATACAAAATACTGCTTTATATACGTAAAATTTACATAATTATAGATTAGATTATGCATTACCTTAGTTTAATATGTATGTTTTGTGTTAATAAATTTGTGTGTGCAATTTTCCAAATTATTCAACCGAAATCAGAGCTTTTAGCTTTTACATGCATTGTGTTACATAAACAGAAACTGTTTTTATAATTGAGAGTTAAAAAACCGTTTTCTATCAGATTATAAAAACATTTCCTACTGGGCCAATGCGCATGTTTCACAATTTACAAAAATTTATTGTGCGCTTTTACTGGTAATTAGACAATAGCAAAAAACTCATTCGATGATTACAACAATATTTTCCACACACACACATTTTATATAACTTAATTGTAATGGAGGGCCGAGGCTGAGGCAGCGGTAATAGGCCCTAATCAGAGACAAAGGTGCGTCTGGGCCGGAATTGTGCAGAAAGCAAAGCACACAAAGTCCAACGATAGCCGGCCATAATTTTGAGAATTGCTCTAAATGGGTGTATTACGAACGAGTTGGCCAAAAAAAAAAAAAAAAAAACAATTGGTGAAACGTGTAAACAGAAAATATCAAAAAAGAGTGGTACGAGTGGCATTTGGATTGAAGGTTCTGACGGCGGAAATTCTGTCGACTTTTTTTTTCTCTCGCAAGCTTCCAAGTTTTTCCATTACGTTGTTTTAATCGATTTTCCACACATTTTCCATGCCTTGATTGTTGTTGTTGTTGGCAGCAGCAGCAGCAGCAACAAAATTCCGTCAAACATTTAGCTAGTTTGTAAAGTTATTCGTGAGTGTGTGTGAATGTTTTTTGTGAGTGTTTCGTGCTCAGTCGAATGTTTTGCTCTGTGCTGTGCCTACATTTTGGCTTTCAACAATAGTTGCTTTTGTGACTCTTGAATTTGATTGATATTCGGTGTCACACTTTTTTCATGTCGATTTTTCATCCCGTTTCGATTGTGAACCGTTTTTCAAAACGACAACAAAAATCACGTTATATCCAAAATGTAATCAAACTATTCAAATGCTAATAATACAATTTCCCCGAAAGGCGCAGCTTGCGAAATTTGTTGTTCGACTCAAAATATTGACAGCAATGCCATGGAAAAAACTAACTCAAGTACTTAATTTTTGTAAATAAACAAAGCTTAAACAATACCTGTTGCTATAAATGTCAGCCGAATGCAGTTCTATGACTGCTGTCAAGTAACAAATTTAGCCAAGTTCAATAAATTGACGATTATTTAAAAAGCAGTTCCAAGTCCAATTCCCAGTCCTATTCATATTTATAAGTTATGCATATTTATAAATTAAGTGACACACTTTTACCAACAGCTGTATCATCTAAAAACAGCTGTTAAACAAATTGATTTGACACTCGAACTGCATATATATATATAGGCATATAACTTAACCTAAAAGATTAAGAGAACATTTGGGTAGGTTCTGATCGAATAATCAGACACTCTTAACTACTTGCTTTAGTATACACACACACACATACAACATATATAGAAGGGACAGCTAGAACAAATGTTGGTGACATTTGATTTTCTTTAGTTCTGGTCCCCCGCTTACTTCGTTTTTGTTCGGGTCCGAGACTCTCTGGCTCAGAGAAGTAGAGAGTAAGAGAGTTAAATGATTTTTGTGATATGTTGTATGGTTTGTGGCTTGAGTGTGAGTCTTTTCATTTATCGAATACCCAATTGCATATTTACATTTTTCATTATTTGACAAATTATCAACCAATTTATAGGAATTTTTCGAAAATTAGACATGTACTTAGTTGTATTAGCACAACGTTAATATTAAAGGCCAACATAATCAAGTAACTGAGTTTGCTACACAAAAAATATCCCACTATAAATATCCCAACAATGTCCCACTTAATCAAGTCAAAAAACACTCTTAAGAAACTCACATACATACATATATACATATAAGTATATGCAAAACTAGGAAGCTTAATTGTGTTTATTTTTTCACTCACCGTTTATGCCATATTATTTAATGTGTGTATTTATGCTATAAATAGTCGAATATCCTTGGACGTTCGTTGACAGCTGCACAAGATTTCACTTAATTTTTCAGATGATTTGTGGTTGTTGTATCTTCTTCGTTCTTTTGTTGCAATTTTCAGCGCATTTTTATGTTTACAAACAAACTTTTTGCTCTAACTAACGTAAATATTTTGCTATTTGGCAATCATTGAAATAAAACTTTTTGTTATTTTTTATTTGCTGAAAAGATGTGTAAATTTGAATTGATTGCATTTCTTTAAAATATATTAAGGCGTAGATATATCAAAGAATTGTTTAGATCATGCATACACACACACACACACACATAGAAACACGCACACGCTGCGAGTGAGAGAGACTCGCTTCGATGAGCAACTCGAGCGAACGAAGGAGCGAAAGAGCAAATGAGCAAACGAACCGATCAACGAAACGGAACCGGTTTTGAGTTTTCTGAATGGTACCAATGAGATACACAAACACCGTTAGATCTGCGACTCGAGTGTTGATTATGTTGATTTTGCATTTCGGTTACGTGCAAAGTTTTTTCTCTCTTTATTTTTTTTAATGTTGTTTTTGGCAAGCGCGCCCAACAGGTCCGCTGCCGCGACGGCTAATTGCGAGCTGAGCCAAACACGTGGAGAACTGGAACACCAAGAGGTAAGCAGCAAGAGAGCGAGAGCAGCCCAAGTGGGCGGCCGTGTGTTGGGAAGAAAGAGAGCGCCATCTTGAGGCAGCCAACCGCAAGAAATGGGAACAGCTGCACGAATATTGGGCCACACATGCACACATGCACACACATATAGCTATGCAAGCGTTAACATATGTATGAAATCATAGCTAATGTTAATTGGAATTATGTACATGCATATGTAAATAGACTTATGAATCTGAAGGCATTTCGCAAACTAACTATAAAAATCTCAAACTAATTTGTATGTTTTTATTGCTCTTGAAATCATTCGCTATGCTGGATTTTATAGCGTATCATAACACAGAATAAATAAATATAGAAATATATATATGTGTATCCCAATTATTCTTTGTGATAGTTGCAAAGGAATTTCATAAAGAAAGCTTTTCTAACTTTTTTTTTCAAATTTTAGTTCTCCAAAATAAACCGAGCAAAATCAAAGCAGTTCATCGTTCAATTATTAAATATGTTCATATTTAGAAATTATATTCACATACGCAGAATTTTCAATAAAAAACTTTTGACACAAGCTATAGACATTTTGATTAATGAAAGCAAATATTGCCGAAAAATTTGCACAAATTTGTTCTAAAAATATTGAACACTTTGCTCACGCTTTCGCATGCCGATAATTTCATTAATTTATCTAATACTCGAGCATGGATAAATCTATCAATCGATGACTCAGCAGCCGCTTAAGTAGTATCTGTATCTGTATCTGTATCTGTATCTGTATCTGTATCTGTATCTGTATCTGTATCTGTATCTGTATCTGTATCTGTATCTGGTTGTCAGTGTATCTGAGTGTCAAAACTCGTTTTCTTCTTGTCGCCCGATCTGATTGCAGTTTGTCAACAGCTTAGCTAAGCGAAAAAAAAAAAACAAACCGCTAACTTTTGCCATGACCAAACTCAAGAACTCGTTACGAAACGAAAGTGGGATAAAGCGAAATACATTTGGAATTGAGATACCTCGCAAAAGACAAAAAATTAAAATAGTAAAAGAGCCATAAAACTACTTAAAAGTTGCCTAAAACAGAAACTTCTTTGAATGTTTTTGTATAAGTAAATTTTAAATATTATTTAAATTCTATTTAATTTGCCTAGCTTTTATTTGTAAATATTTAGTATGATTAAAAGTGAAAACATTTTGTTTCCGCATCGGATAATATTAAAAACCAATTGAAATCAGCCGAATGCCTTATAAGAATCACAATTATCCTAAAATGGAATAGCAGAAGGTGACCAAAAAAAAAAATAAACAGAAATCGCTTTTGTTGTTGGCCAAGAGTGAAAGTGGAAGCCGTCGCCAACAAAATGGAAATAATTGTTGGATTAAAGCGGCCTTAAAAGTTTCAAATAAATAAATTTATCTGTTCTCAAAATGAGAAAAATGTAAATTCAAATGTTTTGTTTCACATCAAGCACATTTAATTGTATTCATTTATAAATGAAAATTAAATCTTGAAAATCTTAAAAGTTCACTTGATATTTGACGCTTTTTCTATTCAAATATATTATTCTTAGAGTTTGTTAGTGTGTTGCGGCTCCAAACAAAATGCGTGCATAAATTAATTAGCAAAATTTAATGCATTTAAATGTAATTAACGTTAATATTTTCATGCTATTTGAGAAACATAAATAAATTAAAAAAATAAACTACACACAATTATTCCACACTTCACATTAGTTTAAATTTGGTTTAATGTGAATTTTTGCAATTGTGAGGCATTTTTAGCACATGCTTGGAAATATGCAAGCATACGTGTGTGTGTGTGTGTGTGTGTGTGTGTGTGTGTGTGTGTGTGTATAAACAACACCTTCGATTCGGCCATGGCCAAAAGCACTTAACGTGTACTAACTTATAAATTTGGTCTAGCAAGAAACGTTTAGGCAAAAACAAATCAATTCGCAACTAGAAAATGAAATGCAATTGGAATGTGCGACTGCGAGATACCCTGCACATTTGCTTCTACAACATTCACAAAGAATTTTCGTTTTGGCACAAGTATAAATATTATTAAATTATATTAACTTTTCAACAACTTTTTGTGGAAATTCTCCAAAAAGAGATTTTCCTAAGAACTATCATAATAGCATATGTTGATTTCGAGATTTCTTCAGAATGTTAAGCTTAGTTTAAATATTCAAGTTTTTAATTTGAAATCTGTCTAAAATTTATCAATCATGTTAATATTTATTTTCGTTTATTTATAAATAGTATATTTTATATGCCTCAACTCGTAATTGAATATTCTATTCCTTGTTTTTGATGTTCATCAAAGTAAAGCATAATTAACAGAACGAACAACTCCCCCCCTCTCTTAAACAAGTTATACAGGGTGTTGGAGGAAAAAAAACAAGAAAAGGCAAGCGACAGCGAAAACAAAGAAAAACCTTTTGCGTTGCGGGGGGAGCTGTCGGAGAGAACCGAAATTGAACTGTAACAAGTGCGCCACACACACACACACACACACACACACATATGTAGCCATCAGCATGTATGTATGTATGTATGTGTGTGTGTGTGTATGTAATGTACAGCTGTAGGGCAAAAACAAGTCTTGCAAAGGAGTGTGGGGAGGGAGGGGGGCTGCTGCGCAGGTGGGGGCAGCAAGGGGACCAACATATGACTGGGACGCCTTGCTGGCCAGACAAGGCAGAAGCCAAAAAGAAGAAGAGCCACGTCTATAGGTGTTTGCGCACATGTGTGTGTGCGTGTGTGAGTGTGTCTTTATGACGCTTTGCTTGTAAGTTGTGGCATTGATATATTTATCATATAATTTTTTGTGCTGATGTTGCTGCATTTATTGTACAATATGCAAAGTACTTTGTTTTTGTTATTGTTTGCTGTCTCTTTTACGGTTGCTTTCTCGCACACACACACACACACACACAAGTATTTTGTTTGCCTGCCGTTGCATCACTTTGTGTGTGTGTGTGTGCGCGTGCGGGGGGGACTTTTAAACCAAATTGGATTTCGTTAGCCGTGCAATTTACCTCTTTTTCTGTGACTGGCTGTGAATTATTAATAATTATAATTGTTGCTGCTGCGATTATTATTGTTATTAATTATTGTTATTGTTTTGTTGTTGGGTGATTGACCCTTTAATTGCACATGATTTTTGTTTGCTTTTATCACACCGTCAAACTGTGACACACAAATGCACACGCACCCACACACACACACGCACACACACACAGCCAAGCACGCAACGCACGGACCGCATGCAGTGCATAAAATCAATTCAAATTCATTTACTTTTTGTTAATTTTATAAATTACACTTTGTACAATGACTAAACAGCTGAGTTGCTGTGACTTTTGTTTGTTTCTTGGCATTACGCGTGTGTTTTGTTTTTAAACGGAATAAATGCGACAAGTTGGCATTTTTGACAGCAGTTAAAACAGCGCGAAGCACAACCGTACCGTATGAAATCCAACAACAAATTAAAAAACACTGAGCTCAGTGCTGCCAGTCAAATCGACTATCAAAACATGACCAGGTGGCAGCGCTCAGACGACGCAGTCCACCATATGCAGCCAACTTCACGTAACGCAAATTTGCGTACACAGCTGACATTAACAGAATGCTGTTAATGTACATTAGGCGCGCAAAAATTAGCGAATTTGAAATCTTAGAGCCGACTTAAAAATATTACGAAATTTGTTGTATAATAATTTATAATGCTAAAAGACGTGTGTTATACAGTTATAACTTATGTAATACTTATCGATTAAAATAGACAGCTTACGGATATTAATGAGTCCAGCTTGGACTATTTGTAGACAATTTTAATGGCTGTAAAAAAGGTTAATTTGCTGAATTGAAAGCGAATCAATGCGCGTGTTAAACAATAATGTATTTTAAATAGATTAATTGGCATTTAAATTCTCGTAGAATCGAGAACTGGCAGTGGCGACAGCTAATTTACTTCACTTCCTGAGTCCGTTTTTATGATCGGGCTTAAATTTCGGAATCTTTTTTGGCATTCGCAGATTCGCTGGGCGGCACATAGCACCACCAGGCGCCCAGAAAGAACAACACGGAGCACAGTTTGCCAATGAGGGCCAGCAGCCACATGTAACTGTAAGGAAAGCAGATTAAATCGTATATTAATCAAATGCAATTGGGTCAAAACTAACCGACTTATGTAGAAATTATCGTAGACCAGGCACGCGCCGCCCGCAGGCGCTTCGCAGGATTCATGCCAGAGCACACAGGATTCGTCAATCAGAGCGCCAAAGATTAGGGGTGCGGGTATGGTGCCCAGCAAGCGCACCTTGATCCACTGCAGGCCCAAGGCAAAGGAACGCTGCTCATCCTGCACGCATCTAGAATGGAAAATGAAGGATTGGCCAAGTGGAGGAGCAAGGGCAGCAGGAGAAGCTTACCTGAGCGTGGCGGACAGCGCGGGCATTGTGGCCAGAAAGGTGAACAGCATGAGGACGAAGCAGAGCGCCACGAAGTAGGGCAGATTCTGGCACTTGGACTCGCAGACGACATTCGTGGCCTCGGGCAGCAGCAG